CGTGTGCTGACCCTTCTCAGGAACTTCTGCTGGGGCTCCATGGTGGTCACTGCTGCATTCCCATCCCTACAGGGTGTCTCTCTGGAAAAGTTCTATATCCTTTCTGGCCCTCAGTTTTTCCTCTGGAAAGTGGAGGTCAACAGTCATTCTCCCCGAGGATGGTGTAGAGCACTAGTTGTGGTCTGAGCAGAGTGCTCTGCACAGGACAGACAAGGGGATAGCCCTCAGCAACGACTCGTGGTCTGTCTGTCTTCACTGCAGTGGTTTTGCACTTTAAGGCCCCAGACATGGCAGGACACTCAGTGCTTCTCTTAACTGCTTGTGTATTTGGATGTCTGTACACAGGTAGAAGAGCTTCCATTACCTCAAGAAGAAAGTAGAGTAGAACAAGGGCTGCATCCTGGATCAGACCATGGACTTGCTCCTCCTTTGGCTCTGCCCTTATTCTGATTGCCAAAACCACCAAGTGATTAGGAGTGAGATCAGCTGTGAGCTGGGAGAGGCGTTGTCCTGGGCCAGTGTAGACTGGGGAGTAGGCTTTGCCAGTCCCCTCTGAATTCGAGGGATAACTGCTGCTGAGATCAACTGGGTGACCAGCGTTCCCAAGGATTAGTCTAGAGAGGCTGATAACCTGTTGATGATTTTCTTTTCTTCTCTTTCATTCTCTCTTCTTCCCTCCCTCCCTCCCTCCTTCCCTCTCTCCCTCCCTCTCTTCTTTCTTTCTTTCTCCCTCCTTCTCTCCCTCCCCTCTTCCTTCCTTCCTTCCTTCCTTCCTTCCTTCCTTCCTTCCTTCCTTCCTTCCTTTCTTCCTTCCCCCCCTCTCTTTCTCCCTTCCTCCCTCTCTCTTTCTCCACTTACAGGCCAGCAGAGGCCTTGGTGCTTAAGAGAGCTTCAAGCCGTGAAGCCTGTGAAGCAGAGGCCTTTCTTTGTCAGCTTAGTCACCCATGGGATCTGCTAGGGTCCGTGATAGCTATGACCATGGGACAGGTTTCTTGTTCCAAAGTGAATGCTTAGGTAGGGCAGGACCTATGCCTGGGGTGTGCGATTGTAATGATATCCAGAACATTCTTCTGCCTGCTTGGACCATTGGGGATGGACCCAGGGCTAGCCAACTGAGTAGACAGTTGGAAGCCTGCTGAGAAGTGGCCTGCCGCCTTCCTGCCTGTTCATTACTTTGTGTGCACCCTCCCCTTTTCTTTAGCATTCTATTCCCCTGTTCTTCTGAGAGGGCCCCTCTCATCAAAGCTGCATTTGGTTGCCTGGGGAGGGGCTATACCAGCACTAGAAACCACAGCAGACCCTGGCCCCAGCTGGCTGTTGGAGGCGGTCTTGAGATGGACCTTTATTTTCTTTTTGGCTAAATTAACATTTGGCATTTCAGGGTACTGGCCCCACGCCCGGCTGCCTGGCCTTCTGCCTGTCAGCTCCTTTGAGGCTATTTTTGCCATTTACTTATTTATTAACTATTATTGCTCCCCAGGACAGATGGGCACACACACTGACATTCGTGTGTGTGTGTGTGTGTGTGTGTGTGTACACACACATTCATACACATACTCTTCAAACCTAGAGCACATTGCAAATACCAGCCTGCATCACCAGGATGAGCTTGGGCTGGAGAAGGGAGAGATGATCCAAAACCTAGGCATTCTGAGTCAGGCTGGTGGAAGAGCTATAGGGGTGACAGGAAGCAGGGATCTCCCCAGAAATGCCCCCATCCTCAAGGCATCTTCTGTCCCTTTTCTCCCACCTTCAGGGTGGTCAGCCCTGGGAAGGGGAGAAGGGTAGGAGGATTGTGGCTCCTACATTGTCCATTTCTTCAGAGAAGTCAGCAGGGGACCTGGGAGCCACAAGACGCCTGTTAGAACTTTAGGAGAGCACCCCTCCTCTTGGGAAGCCCTGAAACCCACTTCTCTGACATATTTTACAAGCTCCCATTTCCAGAGGAGGAAACTTTGGCTTCTGCCTTCAGAGCACTCTTGGCCTGGTATGGAAAACCCTAGCTTTTGCTCATGAGATGTGCCACGCTCAATGTGTCTCACTCTTTAAAGGCTGTCAGGAAGCATACACCTGAGCAAAGAGACAGCATGCACAGGTCCTGACCACTGATTTTATATCTGATGCCAGCTCTTGGTCTACATAGACCTGTGATCCTTGCCTGTGTAGGGCACCGTGTGTGTGTGAGCAGGGGTATGCAGAGTAGTCTTTTGGGCTCTGCAGATCCTTATCTTAGGGCAGCTCATCTGTTCTAGGGCTGGGGCCTCCCATGTGCCCTCCACATGGAAGGTGCATGATACTAGTACTCTCCAGGGCAAGCATGGGGGTTCACTGAGCGCAAGCACTCTCCAAGGCAAACAGGAGGGACTTGGAGACCTTGGGCCATGGCTGCCTGAGGTCTTTCATGGACCTTGGCCTGTGTGTATGAGAAACAGGAAGGCAGTGAGAGAGGCTACTGTGTTGAAGTTGTGGGAAACTGTGTTGGTGGTTACCCAGGACAAGTGGCAACCAAGCCTGAGTTCTGGGGTGACTATTCTTTCCCATTCAGTTGTCAGCCTTCTCTTTCTTCTTAAAGGATGTACTGTCTGCTCTCCTCTTCCCTGAAGATCCTCCTGTGCTTCAAGTAGACCCTGCACTCATGGGACTGGATACTGGAACAGAGGGATTGCTAGTTACTGGGCACTGTCTGTAGGACCTTCTTCCTTGGTGCTCAGTGACAGGCCTTCTTGGAATGGTATGGGGAAAATCCTTGAGGGTGGGAGATTATCCTTTCCATCAGACTGCAAGTTTACTGAGTGCTGGAGTTTCACCTTCTATCAGACTAGGAGGTTCTGAAGAGGAGCATCATGACTCCTTCATTGGATTGGGAGTTCACTAAGGGCAGTCAGGGACTAAACACTTGTCCCTGACACTTTGAAAACTCTGAGATGAGTCCTTTGTCGGCCTGAGCTGCCAGAGGATGGAACTATGTTTGTTCTTCCCTCCCTTCAGGATTCAGTTTCTGTATAAGGTGTTCAGTCCTTGTACTTGATCAGCTGGGAAAGAGGCTGTGGGATGTTGGCATCAACTTGGTTCGATTGAGAAATGTCTCAAGAGATTACTAGGATACACCCTCTGGGTGTCCCTTAGTTGTTTGCAGAGCACATTAACCAACACTGACCAATCCTGAACGTGGCTGGTACAATCCCATAGACTGAGGGCTCAAATAGAATAAGAATAAAGAAGATAAAGGAGAAAGCAGGCTAGTACAGGTATTTTTTTTTCTGTCTGTGCCCTGTATACAATGTTGTGATCTGTTCATGTCTCCTGTCATGGTGAACTGAAACTCATGAACTCAAGTAAATTCTTCCACCTTTAAATGGTTTCTGTCTGGCATTTTCTCACAGTGACAAAAAGTCTGACTAGCACAAGGCCTCATAATGTAGCTTGGGACCTGAGAAGGGAGGAAACTTCCCACCTTGCACTGGGAAGAAAGAACCACTAATTTTATCTCCTCTGCACTTCCCTCCACTTCCCTTTCTCCTTAAGGGTGGAGTAGGGATGGGTTTTATAGCCAGAGTCAGGATATCATAAACGTGATAGCCCATCTAGCAGTTGGGGCTGTGCCAAGTGGGGATGTGGTGAGTCAGTATGAGGATGGCTGCGGGATGGCAAACAGTCACAGGTGGCAGAGGGGAATACCAAGCCAAGTTACAGGGTGGTGCTACTGCTTCTTGCTGGGCTCAGAATCAAAGCCTGAGGTCTTCTGCACCATTATCTCCCCTCAGGGGAGTCTCATCTCCTTTTCCCGATGTGCCTCCATACAGAGTTCATGGGGACAATCCTCAGCTCTGCATGTCCTGATTGAAATTCCTACGAGGCTATGATATTCCTCTGCCTTTGTCTCCCCTGCTCAAGAAAAGACCATCCCACCGACTTGTGTGCCTATTCCTTCTCAAGAATAACCATAATCCTTGGATTTTGTGGTGCCCTTGGTTCTAAGGGCTCCTGGTGGCATGAATAGGGGTGAAGATAAAGAAGAAAGCCTGCTACTAGTGAGCCTGGCCTGCAGGCTCTTGACCTATAGTCTGGGAAGAGGTAAGTCTTGACCATCAGGGCTGGGTGTGGGGATTTGCAGCCCACCAGTCTTGAGCTCAGGTTACTGCTCCAGTCCTGCATTTGGCAGGTGCAGGTGTAGTGGCAGGTGCTTAGGCTTCATAGTGGGGCAGCTCTGGGTTTGCTGTCTTCTCTGCCACCTACCTACATATAATTTGTGGGTGTATATAACCATAACTGTCTAACCCTCAGTGTCTTCATGTAGCAGTTAGGGCTGTTGTTGTGCACCCCATGTGGCTATTGTGAGAATCAATGCACCAATCTGTGTGAAATGCTCCAACCTTTCCATTTGCTCCTGAAAATACCACAGGAAGGTCAAGGGAAGCCCACTAAATGCCTGGCTCCTATGGACACCATGCTAACCTTCATTTTTTCCATGGGCCTATGTAGTTCAGCTTGTGACTGCTTTAACTGCTCATCCAAATCTGATGAGCATTTGGTACTACTTTGCTGAGAGAAGAGAGAAAAAGCTGGCAGCAGGAGCTGGGCAGTGCCCTTCAAAGGCCCCTCTCTGCCGGGGAAGAAGCTGGCAATCCCAATGCCCACACAGTTTTCAGCCTCCAATGAAGACTGCATTATTATGAGCTAATGTCTGTGCTGTCCCCGGAGTGACCAGGGAAGAAACATCGGGTAATGTGATTACTAAAGCAGTAATAATAACAACAACACACCCACAGTTATGGAGAAGGCCATGAGGGACATGCTGGCCCTCAGCCAGGGCTGTGGTTAGTGCCCCAGGGATGATGGTGGCACTTGGAAGCAGCAGATTTCAGGCTCAACTCCCTCTCTTATAGTCCTTCACCAGTAAATAAAAAGCCTACAGGACAAATCATTAAGTCCTTTTCGCTATGGCAGGGCAGCGAGGTCTGATACAATGTGGTCTTTCACCCATCTAGGAGTAGGCGGAGGAGATCTCTGAAAGGGAAGCAGTGGGCTCCATGTTTTCTGTGTGGTCCCTTCCTCTGGTCTTCACTCATCCTTTTAGATTTTATTCCTCCCAGAACTTATCCATTTGCTTTAGAGTGGTGATTTGAGCCAGGAAGCAGAGAGCAACTAACCTGTGTGATTATTATAGAGCACTAGCTAAGGACCATCTGAGTTTGAATCTTGATGATGTCATTCACAAACTCAGTGACCTTGGGAAAGTTATCTAACATCTCTGGATTTCAGCTTTCTCATAGGAAGTAGAGATAATAAAATAGCCTAAGTTGTAGTGTTGTTAAACATGTTTATAATAACAGTTATGACATGTAGTAAGCTCTCTGAGAGCTTCCTCTTTTATAGTTATTATTTAACACATAGAGTAGTACTTATAATGATTCCCATTCTTAGGGTTTGTTGTGTGTTGAATTGTCTTCCCAGAAAGATGCTGAAGTCCTTACCCACAGTACCAGTGACCATATTTGGGAATAAGATCTTTGTGGATGATTAGGGCAGGCCCTAATTCACAGTGACCGGGGCCCATATAAAAAGGGGAGATTTGCACATAGAGACAAACACAGAGGGAAGATGAACTGAAGACATAGTGAAAATGTGCAAACCAGGAAGGTCTGGGGCTGCTGGAAGCTAGGCAGGAGAGTGGGAACAGATTCTCTACCTGGCTCTCACAAAGAACCCACTCTGCTGACATTTTGATGATAGACATCTGGCCTCCAGAACTGAGGTTTCTGTTGTTTGAACTTTCCTGCTTGTGGCATTTTTTTATGATGTGGGGGTATGGTTTAGCGCTCCTGCTTCATGCCTTGAGCCACCTGCTGATTATGCCAGGGGACAGAAGACTGCGGCCTGCTGCTGGTCTTCGACTGGCCTTGAGCCTCTGCATGTGCCTCAGATGGTTTCCAGCCTTTGTCCTCACAAATGAATAGAAATGGCCATTTACAGAGCTGAAAGTGGAGATTATGCCCTCCTCCCACCAGCATTCCTACCCCTGGCCTCTGTCTCTTAGAGTACTTCTTGCCCCACCTCTACTGCCAGCCGGAGGGAGTGGAGACAAAAGGGAGAGTAAACTCTGGAGAGGGCAAACTATAGAGGGTTTGAGCCTGAACCTATCTGCCTCTCTTCTCACCTACATCCTGGAGCTTTGCCTGAGATCTCTTAGCCTCCATGTCTGGGGTGTGTCTGTGTGTGAATATGAGGATAGAGAGAGCATGTCCCTTATTAAGTTCCTGTGGCCTTGTGACCATGACTCATAAACTTACAATCAGGCTGTGCTGGACAGAGGAGACCTATCTGTCCCCAGGGTGGGTGATGCGCTCCCATTGTAGCAGCAGCCAAGGCCCTCCACAGCGCACCTTGGCAGCCTGCCTCAGCCAGCTCCCTCCAAAGAACGGGTTGTTCAGTGTCACTTGAGGGTACAGCTGTGCCACAGCATCTCTGTAGCGGACACAGCAATGAGGAAGGTGTAACCCTTGCCCTTAGGGAGCTTGTTCGTTGTGTGTGTTGAGAGAGTGGGAGGTATTTAGGGCAAGTACAGTTTACTCTCAATTCAAGGCAGAATACTAGAAGGAGAGGCAGGGCTGGGGAGAGAGCCTTTGAGGTGGGCTGGACAGAGACAGCGCCTCATGGAGGAAATGGTACTGGAGACGGCTCTGCAACACTGGCATGGCAGGTGAGGAATAGTGGGCTTAAGGGCTGGGAAACTAGAGGGTACAGAGTGCATCTGGTACTCTGACTCTTCTGTAGTACAGCACCTCCCTGGGAGAGGTAGGAGATGAGATGGGAGGCATCAGACTTCATGACTGCTCTTAGATGCATACGTGTGAAGTATAGCTGTACAGGGATCCACTGAAGTACATGGCATGCAGGCATGCATGGTGCTGCCTGTACTCTGGAAAGGTCAGTTGGACAAAGGATGTGGATGGGAGGCACTGCCCCGAGAGTCCTAGAAGAAGCTGTTGCAATATGAGAGAGAAGGTCAGGGTGAAGACCAGAGGTTGCTTTTAGAAGAGTAACAGTATTTGGCAGTTGGGGAAGAGGACGTGAGAGATGGGCTTGAGTGTGGGAACAGTGCTCTGTTTTGAGGGACGTGGCAGGCGCTGCCTGTGGGACCATGTGAAGGGAAGGGGCTTCGGCCACTATAGAAGCCTCTCGGGAGCAAGGAGCTTGGGATCATCATGGGGCAAAGGCATGTGAGTCCTCTCCAGGCACCAGGTAAATCTGTCAGAGTTTCTCTGGTAAATAACCAGTTGGATTTATATGGATGTGTGGAAAGAGATGCATTATGAAGGATTGGCTGTCCAGCTGTGGAAACTAAAGACACCCTCCACCCTCCACCCCTCTCCCCCTCTGTATCCTGGAGAAACAAGAAAGCCAGTGTTATAGTTCCAGCCCAACCCAAGGCATGAAAACCAGAGAAACCAGTGGCATAAGTCTTAGTCCAAGTTCAAAAGCCCCAGCACCGAAGGTTGATGATATAAAGCCCAGAGTAATTCCAGAGGCCTGAGATAGTGCAGCCAGTGTCTGAGGATGGCTCAGCTTAAAGAGAGAGTGGATTTTCCCTCCCCCACCTGTTTGTTCTATTAAAGCTTTCATTGTGTGACTCAGCCTGATCCACCTTTGATGAGGGCAGTGCTCTTTACTCAGTCTGCCAATTGAAATGCTAATTTTTTTCTAGCCTTCTCAGAGATGTAATGTGTTATCAGTGATGTGTGTATCTCTTATCCCTGTCAAGCTGATACATAGAATTATCCCTCACACCAGACCTGGTGGGGAATGGAGCAAGCGCTGAGGTAGGGCCTTGGCTGAAATGTGGGCCACTAGCTCTTCCAGGAAGCAGTGACCAGTATGAGCTCAGACTTGCCCATGGGGTTACCAGGCAGACACTCCCATTCTGATTCCTGAAAGCGGTGATCCTTGCCCACAGAAGAGTTGGTAGCTGTGGCTGGCTCAGAGTCTTGCTGTGTTGGAGTCTACCAACTCTGCATTTTCCTCTGGCACATTGCAGATGTCTCAGGCTATCTTACTCTTCAAGTATTCAGTTTTGTCATTTCACTTCATAACATTTCTAGAATAGCTGGGCACCAGTGGCTCATACCTGTAATCCTAACTACTCAGGAGGCTGAGGTCTGAGGATTATGGTTTGAAGCTAGCCCAGGCAGGAAAGTCCATGAGACACTAATATCCAATTAACTACCAAGGAAAAAAGCTATGGCTTAAAAATGGTAGAGCACTAGTCTTGAGCAGAAAAGGTCAGGGACAGGACGTAGGTCCCCGAAGTCAAGCCCTAGAACCAGCACAAAAACAAAACAAAAAGGAACAAAGTGACTTCTAGAATGACAGAACTGGAAAGACCTGTGCATCATCTTCCATTTTCTCTCACATATTCAGTGGAACAAATGGAAGCCCATTCTGGTAAAGTCAACATCACAGGTCACATAGCTACTCCCAGAGCTCATATTTTCTCTGTTACCCCGTTTTTTCTCCTTTTATTGCTGACTTCTTCGCTAGTCAGAAACTACGTATCCATCTCCAAAATTCAGCAAAATGGACATTTGGCAAAGGCTTGCCTGGATGGGAGAATAGATATTCAATCAGGTCGTTGCAGGGAGTATGGACCTGGCTGGCCAGAGCCTATAAAGGAAGAAGGACTCACTGGCCAGTAAGCAGTTATTTCCTCATGACCCTGGTAGGGAGTCCAGGAATAATAGCCAGGGGACATGGTGGTGGCCTCTGATTAGAGCAGCCTGCCTTTTCTTCCTTGGAAAGGTAGATATGTCACATGTGCCTTTTTCATACCTTTTATCCCAGTCTTGCATGGTGCTGCTGAGTTGGGGGAGGAACCTGTACGTTCAAGGATGCTAGGAAATCAGGAGCACTTGAGCTGTACCGGTCTATACAGGGCTATATGGAACTGCCACGCATCTTGGGGTTCACCTGTCTGAAGAGGGGAGTGTTATTGATCAACTCGGTCTGCCATAAGAAAATACCAAACACTAGTGGCTCATACAACATGTTTGTTTATTTTCTTAGCGTTCTGATGGCTGGAAGTTCAAGATCAAAACATCATCATGATTGGTATCTGATGAAAGTTCTCCCTGTAAGATGCAAATGGCAGCCTTTTCAATGGATCTTCATGTGATCTTTTCTCTGGAGTTTCTTCTTCTTACAAGGATACCAGACTTAGAATATTAGGACCTAATCTTATGATTTCTTATGGCCTAATTGCTTCTCCAAAGGCACTATCTCTAAATGTAGCCATATTGGCAGAGGAGACAATTCAGTCTGTAGTATTTTCCAATGAAAGCCATGGTTGGCATCTTCCACAGTGTCAGGGTGCTGTGGGAGTAAAAGACCCATCTGGTAGGAGTTGGCTCAGAATCTCAGGGTCTTAGTATCTTCAAGTTCTCTCCCCTCTTCCTTGTCAACAAAAGTTTGCTTAGATCTTCTTAACAGCTGGACAGCTTGGTGTTTTCCTAACTTCACTGGATAGGATCTCCTGGTTATAAAGGTACCAGGGAATGAGATATTTTTTGCCTTTAGTTCCTTTTAGGTAAGAGTCTGAAGTAAGGCCTGAGGAATGAAATCTCAGACAGGGATGTTAGTTCAGGGGTCCTGGAAGAGAATGGGGCTCTCAGAGAGATAACTCTCTCTACCTCCTCAGGCACACCTTCCCCTTTCTCTGCCCACTCCCTAGAGCTTCATCTAGGTTCAGCATAATATCCTGGCTCCTGTCTGGGAGAAACGTCACAGATTTTTTTTTTATATGAAACACTTCAAAGTCAAGAGAGTAATGCTCATGTCCATCATTAAGATGCAAAAAAGGTAATAACTGTCACCTGCTTATTTCATTTATTATTTTTCCCTCTGGTAGAAATACACTAAAACCCTCAATTCCATTTGCTCCTATCTACCTAACATATTTCTGAAAAAAAAAAAAAACATGTCTTACACCTGTGCTTGCTTTCTGCCTCCCTGTGGGATCCGAGTGCTACCAGCAGAATCCTGCTGTAAAATGAAGGGAACTTAAAAGGAAAAAGTTTAGCGAGATGGTGCCCCAGAATATATCCAGAGGCCTGGCTTGGTAATTAACATGCCTTCTTCCTGGTTGGAGCTCCTCCCCAAGGCCACAGAACTGTTGTGGGACAGGCCATCCCTCCCTGCCCCCTTGGATCACAGGAAAAGTAATCATTTTCTAAACGGTCCCACAGACACTGAAGAGAGGCTCATTTGGTTCTCCCAGGGACTGCCATCACCTTTGGGAAGACAAGTGGCCCAGCTTTGAGTGAATCTGGGTCATTTTACTTCTCGCCATAAAGTCCTCCCCAGGGCTCTGGCGAGAAGTGCTCTGACCAGCTGGGACCACACGCACATGGGCACCTGGCAGGTCCCCTGTGACAGTAATATGGAGGGGTGTACTGTGAGCTTGGAAGAGGCTGAGAAGGACTGTGTCTAGGGATGGAGGATGGTTCCACCCTGTCCCCTGGTCCCCAGCTGAGCCAAAGGAAGTTTTATGATTCCATCTCATTCCTTGCTTTAAAAAAAATGAACATCTCTCCTTCCCCTGGCAACCTTAATCATGTTTACAGAAAATATCAGACTCTAGAATAAATAGTTCATATCAGGCCTGAGGGAGAGTGGGGGCCGTGGGAGAATTCGTGGGTTTCCTCTCTGGTGTGGGGAGGGATTGTGGCCTGCCCCAGCTGTCCGCTAAGTTCTGCTCTCTGGATTCTGTATAGAAAAGCTTTGGAGTCAGACATTCCCACATTCAAATCCCAACTCCAGTCATAGCTACCTCTGTGACCTTGGACAGGTAACTTAGCCTCTGGGAGCCTCAGTTTCCTCATGTATAGATCCCAGGAAGGGTTGCTTTGAAAATGAGTTGTCAAGTCAAATCCTGATTCAGAGATGAAAGGTAGAAATGCTGCTTTCTGTTCTTCCAGAGTTGGAGCTCCCACATTTCTCTGGTACTTAGTGCTAAAATCAAGGAATTATGGCCAAAGCAACGTGGGTATGGCACCCAAGGTGTGTTTGCCATACTATACCCTCTACCTGGGAATGGAGAGGGGGAGTGGTTGAGAAATGGACATGGGTCTCTGTAAAGATTGAGTGTTCCCCAAAGTCATCCTCCATTCTCCCATTCCAAGCAGATCTCTCAGAAGTTTCTATACATCTCCTCACAAAGTATTGTCCAGCTGACCTTTATTGCCTCCCCACCATTCTCTGTCTTCCCCTGAATTGTGGTTTTATTTGGATCTGCCCTGCCAGGAACTTTCAAGATTGTTTCTCTTTGCTCTGTCCACATTGTCCCCAAAGTGCACAGAAGGGAAATGACTTTTCTGAGTCACACAATGCAAGATGGGACTGTGACACAGCTCCTGTCCTCCCCTTTGTATCCCCTGGTCTCCAATGCTGCATGCTCCTTCAGGGACATCACACCTGACACACTCAGGTTTACTGAACAATTCAAGGGAAGATGAATTGTTCTCTCTGTGCTCACTGTGACCAAGCAGATCAGTTCCCCAGGGTGGCTCTGCTGCCTTGAAGGTGTGTAATGAACTATTTTCTCCCTTGAGAACCTCAGTGGTTGGGATTTGTTTGGGGGGGAGCCTATTCAGGTCAGGATACATTAGTGACCTCTGACCTGACCTATCAACCTCAGGTGTTTGAAGGGAAATCCTCTTTGAACCCAATTTTCTGATTCTATCTGGAAGGGAATGTCTTTTT